AACAGTTCAAAATCTAAAGATATTCAGTTTATAGCGATATGAAGTCTAAATAATGAGATAAAAATAAAAAATAAAATCAATGGTATCTATATAAAAATAATTATATGCTTATTCGAAATAAACTATTTAAATTGTTCAATTAAATTAATAATTTCTTATTTTCTTTGAAATTTTTGTCAAATACAGATATGCAGTGATAATTGTTGGGTAATATATATGTTGATGTTGTCCAACGTCAAGTCTCTGATCATGTGATGAGACAATATGTGCACTATAGCGTGCACAGGGGCCCATCGCAATGACAGTATGCCACTGAGTCCACACCATCACATCTTCTCTTGTGTTTTTGCTTGTGGAACAATTTAAAGGCCCCGACACCTATTTTCTTAATCAGTTTCTGACTATGGCTGATGGAGTCCTACATAAGCACTAAATATTCTGCCAAAGTTTGAACTGTTTTGGTTGTTTCTCATGATAGATTGATGTACTTGTGTGTTTGTCCTTACTTTTCGCACTGGTTTGAAGCAGGTGGAGCTCAGCTGGAAGAAGGTGGTGTCCCTCTATGCACCGATCAGAATTCAGCTGCATTTGAATTGAAATCTGATGACAGCCGTGACATTAAAACCACACTCTGGATCATTAATATTCAATGTTCATCATTAAAGTCAGATCATTAATAAGAAATATTATCAGCAAATAAAACATGACATATTGATGTAGATTCAGTTACACAGTGGTATATAAAGTAATTAAAATTAGCTCCATCTTGATCAGCTGCATTGTGCTTAAATCTGTCAGTGATTATAATCAAATAATTTAATACACATTATTCTGAAATGTGTAATTCTGCATTTTGCATACTTTTACTTTTGGTATTTAACTGAATTTTGTGTAATTTTACTCAAGTAAAATTTGAAATCCAGGACTTGTACTTAAAACAGATCATTTCTGAACTGTGGTATTTCTACTTTGACTTAAAAATAAATGATCTTCCTCCACCACTGCCTGCAGCTGAGCTTCTTTTTTATTGTTACTATTAATACCTGTGTGTGATGCAGATTACTGGTTTGTCCAATTAAACAGTGCCCCATGTATCAGTGTGATACTGTTGTCATATATACTGTTGCAACCTATGGGGTTGTTGCACTTGTACGACTGTAGACACGTAACTGTAATGAACACTGAGGAAAGCGCCAGATGTGGTGCTAACATTATTAAGAGTAATTGAGACCACTGGGGCACAGCAATATGAAAAAAGCATCATTGAACTAATTACATGTTGAAAAGCAGAGTCATTAGCGAGATTACATAGAGTCACATCAGAGTGTGACATCAAAGTGTAACATCAGCCCCAGAGACACAGAGACAATCCTCTACGGGCCACTCGCAACATCATAAACAACATAGTGAAGGTGGATGAGAATGGGGCGGGCCGGATGTGGGGTTCCTGTCAATAAAAGCAGATATATAAAACTATAATTACGTCTGTCTTAATCTCATTATGGTGGCTATTGTACAAAGTGTATGAGGTGAGATCAGCGAGGAGTCAAAGTACAAACTGTCTTTATTGACAGCAGTAAAAGGGATTATGGGCTGGGAGACTTTTTAAATGTCATTTACATCCAGAGAGATGCATTGCAAAACATCACTTTAATGTTATGTAATTGCAGTTGTATGCAATTGGCATTACCACTTCTGATTTTGAAATTAAAGTAGACTCTTTGCTTCCACACCTGCCCTGACAACTGACCCAAAGTAACCACATAAGACACCTTTAAAACACTCAAATCCATGGGTTATTTATATTGTGTATTTATATTGTGACACTCAATTCAATTAAACCCAGGTTTGGGTTCCCCCATAGATTTATCCTCCAAACATCCGTCATGCTATGTGAGACAAAGCACACTGGTTCATCTGTGAATCCTAGCATCAGTCCTTGGGGTGTTTTTAACCATGCAGTATGCGAGAAATATGGAAAATGGTAGCAGTGGAGAATAAGTATGTAGCTAAAACATGATATGTATGTTCTATTACATACTAGATTTACCTGTCTCATTCCTAAACTGCTCCTCTGCTCACGCTGTTGTATTAAATATTAGTGGAGTCTTGTGATGACTGAAAGGACATCTTGAGGTGTAAACAATGTGTTCGGTATTCTCTCAGTGTCCATAATCCAACCGTCCAGCTCTGAGTGCGCAGCTTTTCCTCTCAAGAATGCAGCGATAGTGCCCCATTGTCACACAAGCTGAATGACAATTACTTTGGTACTTTAAACAACAATAGCAGTGTTGTGTTTTACCACACATTATTTCAATTTGTTACGTGAGTGATGACTCATGTTTGGCAAAAAATGTCACTGTATTTGAGAAGTTTGGATGTGTTGTGTATCATTGCAGGCATCCATTTGTTTTTATGCATTTCTGAAGTTCAGTCTTGATCTTGGAAGGTCTGCTTATTAACTTTTACATACTTTCAACTGTCATCAGTGGACTGAGCATACTCAGGCCAAGAACGTGCTTTCATGTGTCAGAAAAAAAAACACTTTGAGGACCAGTTTTGTGGCTGGTTTAGATGATGTGCAGTGGAGACAGAAGTTCACAACAAGGGTGTAGAATTCTATCTCAAGAACATCATTCAGAGCAAGGTTTTGTACTATTAAATCAAGGCTAGCCTAAAACAATGGGCTGTGGGCTGATGAGGTCTGAGTGACAACAGTGGAACTCAAGAAAACCAAATTACCAATACAGTCCGATTCAATCTGGCCTAATCCCTTCAGCATCCCAAACACTGCTGTCCTGGGTGAGTGGTTCAAGAACTACACACAGAGATCTCTTCATCAGTGTTAAGTAGTTTGTCTCAGCACAGAGCAAATATCAAACACAACAGCAGGAACTCAATCAGTGGACAGGAGTGACAATAATACATGATGAAACAGCCATGCTTTGTCAGTAATATGCCGCCGGTTGCTGTTAGGTTGATATGCCACTGGAAACTATGTGATAAAAAGCTGGGAGGATGGGAGTGGAGGTGGATGGGGTCCAACAAACAGGCCCGTTGTCGGGGGGGTCAAAGGGTAAAGATGACCCAAGGCCAAGGGGGAACCCATGAAAAGGTCTATGGTCGACTCTTACCCTGTATTGCACTTAGTTTTAAAGCTATGGTTAGGACACAGCAATCATATCAAACTAGAGGACCTAAGGCATCCACTGATATGCTAACTTCGTCGGAAAGGGGTCAAATAACACTCCAAAGCTACATTAAATTTTAGCGAGGGAAAAAGGAATATTGCCAAAACAGTTTATTTCAAGTATTTCTGCATACTGGGGTCCCTAAACAGTCTTGGAATTGCATAAATTTAGATTTGACAGCCATATACTCTTTACACTGTTTCAGTTCTGCACACGATTTGACCAATATGAGGGGCCCACTTTTGAAAACGTGGTCCAAATGCCCATATTTCCTAACAGCTGGCCTTCCAACAAAGCCAGGACTTTCACCTGGGAGCCTGTTGTTTGTTTCCTGTGGAGTTTTACGCCAAACCATGATGTTTTTTCTTAACCTAACTACGTGTTTTTGTTGTACAAGGAAATAAAGGTAAAAGTGAGGTATTTTTTTGACATGGTGCGTGCATTTTGAAAAAAAAAAATATGTGCATCTAACGAACAGAAACTGCACATTTCCTGTGAAAACAGCAGTATATTTTGAAAAGAAAAAAAAATTTGACACATGGTCCCAGAACATCAGCAGTTGGGAGTATAATGAATAAATCAATGAATAAAATGCTAAAAATAACTTGCTTTGTTGGGCCTCATATTTATTCACTTCACTGTCTTATAGTAGCAGGGTTCAAATAGCGGTCACATTGCTGGGTTGGTCTTGTACAAGTAGTGACCGTGGTTTGTAGAGGCATGTGTGTAGGCTTTAGATGGAATGTGGCTGCAGATATACGTCTCACGCATAGTGTGGAGGCTGATCATTCGGGTAATTTTATGCATGGCCTCATGCGCCAGTGAGCAGCCTTAATAGAAATGAACAGGACCCCGCCTCCAACGCTGTATACAGTTCTCTTCATACATCCATGGTTTCAGGTCTTCATGCTAAGCTAACCTAAGCTAACCAGCTGCTGGCTCCAGCCTTATACTTACTGTGCACACATGAGGGTGGTATCAATCTTCTCATCTACAACTATTCCTTCAAGACGTGCTATGGTTGAGAATGTAATAGCTTCTGAGTTTGCATGTTGACACATTCATCTCCATGACTACTGAGCAAACTCTTTCAAGTGATGAGGAGGAGGCCAGTAAGCAGATCTAAGGTTGGGATGGTTTTGCCAAAATCAGACAGTCTTTTAAAATCAGTTTGTGCTTTAACTACATCACCATGCAACAATGAGGTCAAGAGTCTGCTGATTGATTTTATACCCATACAGACATGAATGAAACCAGTGAAAACAGTTGGCCAGTATGCCCAGTGAAATTTTTCAGTTGTTTAAGGTGTTACAAACTTTCAACTTTCCACTCAGGACAAAAATTAAGTTTCCAGTCTTAGTGTTCTTTCTCCTGCTGGGCCACTACTCTTTGTGAGCATGCCAGCTCAAGTTGTCATCATCAAATAGAAAGTCCTATACGGCTCATTTTCATGCCAGGCACAAACAGGGCGACAGAGAAAAGATTGAGGAACAGAAAGGGGCTCCGTTGAGTGACTGCCATGGGCAGCCATACAAACAGCCCACTCTTTTTTCCTCCCTCTGTCTCTCTGCTGCAGAACAGTGCGACAGTGTTTGACTGTGCCAGACTCGCTGAGAGAAGTTGCCCTCCAGTTATTTATTAGTGTATCCTCGAGGTCGTGCGGCAATCGCCCTACATTTGACACAGTCTCTAAATGGCCACATCAGCAGACAGATAATCAGTGAGATAAAGAAGAGTATCTTCCATGCCAGCTCGGGGAGGGTGGGGGTGGTGGTGGGGTGATAGGGCGATGGGAGGGGTGGGTATAAATGGAGGCCAACGGGCATTCACAATCCTACGGTCTGCTTGTGCTTCATCACCAGCTGCCTTCTACCCACAGCCAGCCTGCAGCCATGGCGTTCAACGGAACCTGGAAGGTCGACCGCAGCGATAACTATGACAAGTTCATGGAGCAAATGGGTGAGTGTGTGAGAGCCTGTGTGTGTAGATCACACTGGAGTCATGCTGTGCTGCAGCTCTATTTTTCTGCTGTGTCTGCCCTTATGATCTAGTTTATGAGAGCAATGTGTGCAACTGTGTCATGTGTTTCAATATAGTTTGACATTGCTGTGTGGGTATTACACAAGGCAGTGGGGTGTTGATAAGTTCAGAGTGTTTATGGGGCTGCTCATAATAATAGCAGTAGCTAAACAAAGATCTTTTTGTGGACTTGGATACTAATACTTGGACAGCAAAAACTTCAAATACAAGCAGAGTGTAGATACACTGTCACTTGCAAATTTATTTTAATAAATAATCCTCAGTGAATCCTATGATGGCAGCAACCCAGCTATATGTTTCTATTTTTGTGTTGATTAATTAAGGTATTAACATCATGAAGAGAAAGCTGGCAGAGCATGACAACCTGAAGATCACCATTGAGCAGACCGGGGACAAGTTCCACCTCAAAGAGTCCAGCACTTTCCGCACCAAAGACATCGACTTCACCCTGGGCGTCCCGTTCGACTACAGCCTGGCTGATGGCACAGAAGTCTCAGTGAGTGTCCTAAAGTGGATCAGGCATTATTACACCCAGCAGTGGTTCTTCCTATGTTAATTTGTTTGTTTATTTAACCTTTATTTAATCAGGAAAACCTCTTTTTCAAAAGTGTTAAGTTACAGACAGACAACATGGAACAAAAAAGCCAAAATGTTTGTTAATATATGCCAGAAATGAACCATAAAAATGTAAAAAAAAAAAAAAAAAAAAAAAAGCAACTACACATGACTACAAAGTCCAGCTAAGACACACTGTGACTTAGCATGCAGAAGATTGTGTACAAAAATCCTGCAACAATGCCATGAAACGGCCGAAAGGAACCAATGAGTGCAACTTTAAGTCCTTCTGCAGAAAATTCCACATATATGGAGCTACATACATAAATGCTCACTTGCCAAACTCTGTACGTACCCTCGGTACAGACAATAGAAACATGTTTTGTGAATGGAGAGCATGGCTGTTTTCAAGTTTTTGCCTATTGTAGACACATGCTGGAATGCCAGTGAAAAAGTCTACGAAACTGTAAGGAGAGCCGCCCAACCTGAGCATACAGGATACGGTGATGAGTTTATAGCTTTAAGTTGGTAGTAAATCCAGAGCATGCAAACACTGGGTGGGTGCATTCATATATAGCACATCCCCATCATCAAGCAAAGTCAACAATGTGGCAGAGACCAGCCAAAACAGAGAAGCAGTTTCTATTTCAGCTTCGGCTTTTTCACGAGTAGTTCAATGTGTTAGTAGTTCTTAAAAGAAAGTCAATCATGTAACACAATGCCCTGATGTTGATAAGATGAAACACACTCTATGCAACAAGTTCCAGTGAATAATCTACAGTGGATTTGTGGTTGCTGCAATGAGGGTTAAATGAAAATGGACAAACCTATCAAAACCTAATGAAACTCAAATTGGACAAGTGTTAGCTTCAAATTAGCATCTTGCTACAAACTTAAACACAGTACATCTGGTATAAATGTACAATTATAATGCTAACGTGATGTCCATAGCAAATAAAAACATACATACACTCTAATGTAACACGACATAAGAAGAGCATTAAAGAGCACATGTGTATTTTTAACCAGGGTACGTGGGAGATGGATGGTGACATGCTGAAAGGAAAGTTCACCAGGAAAGACAACAGCAAGGTCCTGACCACCACCAGAGCAGTGGTGGGAGGAGAGCTCGTACAGGTCAGTGGGTTCATATGCATTTCATCTGTAAGCATTATGTTAAACTGTTTTGCTTCCATAAATGTCTCCATAAAGTAACACACCTCTTCTTCTCTCCCCCCGCAGACTTATAACTATGAGGGAGTGGATGCTAAGAGGATTTTCAAGAAGCAGTAACCTGGAGTGCAAAGTTCATATTTTATTTTTATATAGATGACACGATGTAGATGTGTTTTTTCTAACAATAAGATATGGCTATGTCAAGTGTTTTCTACATCACATACCTCAAAATGTTTTCTAGAGTTTGAAAGGAGGAATAGTCGACCATAGCATTGCACTGTGAGAGGGTGACAAGCCAATACCAAGACTAAGGGAGACCGCCCGTCGCCATGTCAGCCTAATGTGCCTTAGAAAGAATCTTAACAACCAGTATCCCAGAAATGGCTACAGACTCTTGTGGTATCCACTCATGCAGATAGTTGGTTTCTCTTTGCCCAGATTTTGAGATATTTGTCTCGGAGATTTATAATTCCACCTCACTACCAAAGAGGAGGATGGCATTTTGTTTGTGTTTCTCCCTGCATTGAAAAACGACATTTTGAAAAATTCAACCGCAGCTTGTCTTTTCAGAAACAACGTCCTGGTTACTGGTGATAATCCACAGAACATGTGAACAGTTTTCACAGGGACCACTTCATTGGTACAATGTGGTTCCACGGAAAGCTTTTTACATGTGTGTGGATTCTCCAGGGTAACAGGAACATTGTGTTTGGAAATACATGCCAGTGCTGAATTCTTTTTAAATGTAGTTTTCAGTGCTGTGAGCAACGCTGATGGGAATTCTTCCAGCTCCTTGGTATCAGGGCGGAGGCAGAAATCTTAGAGTGAATGGCTTAAAAACGGGGTGAAAAGTACCACAAATATCAACATGATAGGATACAAGTGTGACGAACTTACCCTTCAAATGACTCCAGTGTGTCAAGAAAAACACCTAGTCCCCCACTGGACTGCATCACTGTGATGGAAAACTGCACAATGATGACCACACACAACATGACATAGTCAGTTTGCACTAATGGTTCTATATTATAGTCTGTAACAATAAAGCAACTTTCATGTGTCACTTGAGTCTAATATTGGTGTCATTTTGAAGTTCAAAGACGTGCGACGAATGAATTACGAAAGTCTTCCTGTTGTTCCGAGAGACATCAAGTCATGTCGCCTCCAGGCTCCACTGTTATCAGGTCATCACAATCAAGCTCAAAGATCATGGTGATTATATTTTATGAGCATCATAACTTTAAAATTGCTCTCTTGATTGAGGGAGGGATTATGAGGAAGTGTCACATCACTTCAGGATCTCGCACTCGGCTGTAAAGTCTCTCCTAAATAGCATGACTGCAGTCTGGTCACATGATGACAGTGGGGTCTTGTGTTGTCATGTGCTGGCCTTTGGGTGCTATCCTCAGCAGTGGGTATGATCAGCTACACAGCTACACTGGGGAAATGATTTGTCACATGATGAGGCTTGAAAATGCTCAAATGAGTATTTGCACTGAGCCTCTCTGACCACAAGAGGGCAACATGTGCCTACTTTTACTCCAGAGTTGAAGTCACTACTTCAGCACTGTATGAAAGCTATACATATAATTTAAAATATTTTTACAACTCATTTGGATTTACACCAAGAAGTTTTAGGACAAAAAATGCGTGATGATAATGGGTCCTTTCTGAGTGTTCCTCAGTAGTTTTGGCGAGGCGAGAGCAGATTCTCATCTAGATATGGGGAGTTCATCAGGGAAATGGGCAATTATCTTTCTAGCTGTCAATTACAATAGAGTTGGACAATAGTATGGAAGCTCATTTCTGCCAGGAAGAGAAAAAAAAGTTAGTTATTAAAGTAAAAATGCTCATAATGTGTCAACATTTTAAGTTACTATACAAAATTCTGACATAAAAAAGCATTTATTTTATCATGACAAACATTTTATCTACTTGATTTACTTTAAAAGATTATTTTTGGGGGGGAGTTTGGCCTTTAACGACAGGTAGAGGCGTAAAGGGGGGAGATGGAGGCAACATGCAGCAAAGGGCCACAGGCCAGAATTGCACCTGCGGCTGCTTTGTACATAGGGTGACTGCTCTACCCACTTAGCTACTGGGTGCCCCAATTTGTTTTATTTTACTAGCAGAAATGAGCTTCCATACAAAACCCAACTGGCACTGGATGTAACTATTATGTCAGAAAGACGTTAGGCCTTTATGTATGGTAAGGTAAACGTTAATGTCCCTTAGGGGCAATTTGATTACACAGTATACAGTATCACACACTGTCAGAGGTAAATCATGGACATTAGTGGTCACTGCTGGTTAGGATAAGTGATAGCAGAGAGGGCAAAGGACGATCTGTAACTCTTAGTGCTACATTTAGGGAGGCAAACCCATCTGAAACTCAACATGGAGGGATGCTGAGAGTCTGAGACAATAGACAGAACTTTAACGTCATACAGATGCTGCAGGTTATTAAAAGTAACACTGGTGATCTTACAACACAACTTGACCACTTTTTCTAACTTGTTCTTGTTTTTAAGGCTCAGATTATCAAACCAAACATTTTCATGATAGTCCTATCTTCAGCTTGTTGTACAGAGGTTACATTTTGGTTGCAATGAACATCAGGTTAACGATATTCTAAATGTCTAAAGACATTAGAATTTCACATTGTGAGGATGCTACCAGTATGATATTTTGCAGATGTTGGGTGTGGCTCTTCACACCTTACAACTAAATGTCATTATTCTACATTCTACATCTACAAGATGATGTTGGCAACAAAATATCAACATAATCTGTCATCAGTATTCTACCTTAAATTAGACGTTATGATATTGAATTTTTGTCACCTGACATAACGACCTAAATGCAACCAACTATCAGCTATCAAGGGTTGAGATCTATATCACATTATGTATGAAAATATTATCCATTATCAAAACATATTACAAAATAGAGAACTGGTTTTCACTGCACTGGTGTTGCGTTGTTACTGTGTGCATGACATCAGAAAAATGTCTTTAAACTTATTTTGGTTAATTTTGATCCAGAATTTGCTGGAAATTATTCATCTATAACATGATCTTGTTAAGTGTTGTGATGATTTCATCACAATATGATCAAAGCATATGATGATAAATGACAGTTGGACAGCTGGATGCATAAAAGCTGTTGCAAAATTTAAAATGGATCAGAGAAATTCATTCAAGCACAATTAATAACTAATAAACTCAGTGAAAGTATTATCATCCCTACAGACACCCATCCAAACCTGGACAGCCTGACGTGTAGCATCAATTGATTGCATCCCCCCCCACTGAGCCCTGAGTGGCACCCTCTTTCATGGAGGTATAAACCCACTGCACACAGGGCTAATCTGGCAAAGGCAGGGCTGCTTTGAACACCAGTTTGCCCCCAGAATCCACCACGGGGAGCGCAGTCCTCTGAGACCGCTCAGATGCTGTGAGGCTCCAGGGCTGTGAGCCTGCAGATTGTAGTGTAAGGGAAAATGGGTTGGTGGGCCTCCTTTCTCCCAGTTTGGATCTGCAGACTTACAGGCTTTACATTTTTTAATGAGCACCACTTTTAATAAGATTTCAGTTGTGTCCAGTCTAACAGATGTGTTTTGGCATACATCTGTATATGTGAAATATCAAATACCACATCTGTAACAGTGTGACTGAATACCAAATGCAGCACTCAGTGATAGTTGGTAATGACTTTTATTTAAACACAGAATAAGCAGAAACTTGAGCTGACCAAGGTATTCAGGTAATACTCCATTCTTTGAGCTCAGAGCCCACACACAGTCTTTGGGGTCAGGGAAAGAGGGGCTTACAGATGGCGTGAATGAGAAGGCGAGGGGTCCGGAATCAGAAGAGTGTGATGACAAGGGATGAGTAGCAGGGAAGTAGTAGCGGTGGATCCAGGAGCCGAAAGGAGGACACACACACACACACACACAAGGCAGCATGTGGCGTCTCAAAGGCAGGTGGGAACACTCACTCTGAAACGTCGTGGCAGGAAAATACCACACAGCCATGGGCAGATGAAAACCAGAGACGCAGAGGCAGAACTTGTGGTCAGGGACAGAAGGCTGGTGAATTTACTGGGACACAGACAACATAGACAGGGTCGATACCAGGAGATAGAAGAAGCCGCATAGAGTCATAGAGAACAATCTGGCACTGAGGGAAAGGCAGCAGCTGCTTAAATGCAGTGAGTGCTGATGAGGAGCAGCTGTGCGCACAGGTGAGTGGAGTTGTCTTGATGAGGGGGGCGTGGCTGGCAGGTAGAGCGGAAAAGCATAGGGAGAGCAGGGGAGCAGAAAGCAGGCTGTGACAACATCTAAACATACATTTATCAAAACTAGGGTTTTCAAAAAAAAGTTTGTGTTCTCACTTTGCTCCCCTCCCCAAACACCATGTGGGTGCCTTTTCACTATCCATTAAGTGTTGTTTTTGTAACATTTTATACAGTATCACCTCCTGGTAAGTGTCACTATTTTGCAAAAAAAGGGACAAAATGTACAATAAAAAATGCAATTAAAGTTTAAGATGAATTTGATTGATAGTGGGGGGTTTTTTGTCTTCAAATTTTCCATAGATATTGCAATAATATCGTTATTGTGAAGTCTTTTAACCGTAATGATTGTATAGTGAAAATCCAATATTGTGCCAGTCCTACTTTAAGCACATACTTTCATATGTGATGGAGTATAGTATAAGTGAAGTATCTGAATAATTCTTCCACCATGCAAATTTGCGTTTCCTAGGGTAGCGAAGGCATGACACGCCCTACTCTGCCTTACTCTGCCTCTGATTGGCCTACCCTGGCATTCTTACCTTAAACCAGTCTTACTTCTCTTGCCTGAGAGGCTGTTTACACGTACACGTTGATTTTGATAAACGGAGACATCTTCCTTCGTTTGTGCCCTTCGTTTACAAGCAAACGGAGATTTCTCCTCTGAAAACGAGTCTTTCTAAAAACTCCGGCCAGAGTGGAGATTTTGGAAAACTCCGGTTGCGCGTTTGCATGTAAACTGAGATAAACGGAGATAGACGGAGTTATAGGCAGCCGACGTCACAGTATGCGCCGGAACTTGCGCCTGTGTCAAAAGTGCGACCTATGTTGCTATGGTGACAATGGATACATGGAAGGCTTGAGCTTCTCGTTACACTGCCACCTACAGGTTTGGCATGCTCTTGTGTATATATACACGGGTAAGTGTAAACGAAGATCTTTTTGAAAACGGAGACGGTGAAATGTCCGTTTATGAAAATAGCCGGCAACGTGTAAACGGCCTCTGAACCTAACCAATCCAACCAACAAAGGCAAAGAGCACTAACCAGTTGGAGGAAGAGCAAGCAGGTCATACCTTCGATACCTTAGGAAACGTAAATTTGCCTTCTTTACTGTTTAGTATATTATAAACACACATTAAACATGGCTTAATAGAAACAATTTCAAACACAAGTTCACAAATCAGCTTCACTATAACTCGCAGCATTCACAGACAAAGCACTTGTCTTTAACTGAACACGTTTTCCCCACAAATACAACATGCTAATGTTTTTAGCTCAAGCCTATGGCATTTTACATTGTATAAATTAGCCTAGCAGCTAGCGGACTTTTCATCTACTCTTTTGAGGCCAGGGACAACAGCAACATTTAACAAAGGTGATATTCGGCTCAATTACAACTCACAAGGTTCACTGACAAAACATCTGTCTTATACTAAACACGTTTTCCAAACAAATACAACAAGCTAACGTTATTAGCGGGAACTGCCCATTGGTCAGACAGCCCATTGTTCCGACCATATTAAACCCATTGTTCTGAAGTCCTGTTGTTCTGAAATCATCATGATGCCCTGTGGTTAAGGTCTGGTTAGGTTTAGGCACAAAAACCACTTGGTTAGGGTCAGGGAAAGATCATGGTGTGGGTTAAAATGAAAAAGAAAGTGACAAACACATAAGCCGTGAGCCTGCTTCACCTCAAGCCTGTCCCAGCTGACCCAGAGCCGGTTGTGGCGCACCATCAAGGTAGAAATATGCATGCCGGGAGCCG